TTAAACGCTACATAATTATGAGATAGTATTATTATTGTATCAAGATATATTAGGTTATTTCATGAAAAACTGAGCTCATCGTGCAAGTGACTAATAGGAGAGTCATGAATCAATATAGATGACAGAAAACAACACTTACAAACGCTTTAATTTTCAGGCCTTACAAATGAAAGATGTGGATGTCAGAGAGCAAACAGGAGGCCAGTCAAATGGTTATTTTGGTCACTGGAGGCTGTTTTCCTTTTCTCCATTCCTCTGGTGGCTCAGCGGTGGATGTTTGGATGCGCTCCCTCCCTGAGCGTCTCCCTCTCCGGCTGTGAGTCACCGCTCCGGGCTGGAGGGCCGGGCCCTCCTCCAGATGACATCAGAGGGTTGGAAATAACAGCCTGGTGTTCCGGGAGCCTGCAGGAAGCCCTGCGGCCCGTTTGGCCGCCCGCTTCAGCCCAAAGGGTTCGGCTGGGAAGGCGGAGGAGACTCTGGAGTACAGAGCGAGCAACCAGTCGGAGGCGATGCTAACGCGCTGAATGTCTGACTTCATTTAACGTAGTGCAAATAAAAAGCAAACAAAGTTACATATAAAGAAAATTGAAACAGAAGCAACCAAAAGAAGAACAGGAGTGAAACGGAACAGCCATCTTGGTTGGCAGTTGCTATGACAACAACAACAAAACCCACATCTACGCGCTCGCTCTGGCCTCCTTTCTAACTTATAAACAATAAAAATACATTACAGGTAGAGCTGAATCTATTTTTGAGATGTATTACACAGTATTACACCTATGTGTAACACGGAGATAAATATCAGTTATATTTACTGTAGTTCTTACTGCCGAACGAACAGAATTAGCTTAGCTAATGTAGCTTTTAGCTGCTAGCTAAATCCGACATGTAGCCTGGCAACTTTTTCTTACGTGTTTTTATTAAACTTCTCAGTGTTAGATTCAGAGTTGGGTCCAATTACATTTACTGGAGTAACGTTTGTGAAAAACCCCCAATAATGACTCTTTAAGTATTGTTATTGTGCTGTCCTGTTTATTTTTATTCAGTATCTTCTATTTTCTACCCACTGAGTGAATAACAAACATGTTTCAGTCAGAAATTCACCAACAGACACACACAAGTTTTTATCAAAGTTTTATGAGAATTTTAGTGAAAGAAACCAATTTGGAGGCATTTTCTTTTGTTATTTTTTGTTTTTTATGTACATTATTGTAATTTTGGTCCTTAAAATGACCAAATTTTTATCAGATGATGTAATTTTTAAATATTAAAATATTTTAAATTACTTTTTTCCCTCTTATTTGAGTAAAACTTATGTGTTCTCTCTGGTTGGATCATGCCATTTCAGTTGAAGATGAATATATTTCATGTTTATTGGAGATGTGTGAAGGGTTGCTGTCAATATTGTATGAAATGAGGCTAGTTTGCAAGGAGGCCATTGTCGGTTTCTCAGTTTACCACACACTCTTCATGCTTCCTTCACACACCAACACTTACTCCTATCTCCCTGCTTCCTGCCTCGCGCCGTCAAGCTGTCTGTGTTAATAGAGTGTGAGCAAAAGAAATCAGGCAGTACGGCCTCTCTGGACACCTGAGCCAAGTCATAGCCAGAGAGACGCTCGTACTTTAGCATCGCCACAGAAGTAGGTCATCAGGAGTGTTAAAATAACTGCTTCCTGTCCGTCCTCTGCAGCCATCACAACATCAGCTAACCTCGCCTCGCTCTGCACATAAAGCACAGGTTAGATCTTATCCACACTGAAATATGCATGTGGTAAAAGTAAAAAGCATCCACTCTGCACTCACATATCTGCACTCATCAGTTTTGGCCATCAAATGTGTCTTCAAAAATAAAAAGACGTAAATAAATAACTTTATGTGGCATAAAAATCCAAATATATCATCATACAAATCTTCGAAATTTTTAATTTTGCTTGATTTATTCCAAGCTTAGATGTTTAAATTTCACGTGTTTTCATAAGAGCTTGAACTGACTAAGTATATCTTATTTTTAGCTTATATTTGTGCAATTATGGAGAAAAAAGATAATACATTTCTGGTTCTTCTTCTTATTATTATTATTGTTATTTTGAACTAAAAAATTTTGAGAAAAAACAAAAGTAAAATTTGAAAAGGTAAAACTTAGCTAGAAAAAAAATTAAATTAATCTCAGAAATTTTGTATAAAAGATTGGAAATTTCTGCGTTTGAACAGATGGATATTTTTGACTTTTCAAACTCAAAAGAGTTTAATGTCCTTGTTTTTTCTATAGAATTTCTGATATTAAACTCAGTTTCTGAGTTCTTTGGTGGAAATTTACCCGTCCTCTCTCTGCATCTGCAGTTGCTTCTGAATGACAAACCAAAGGGAAAATCAGATTGAAATAAAGGACTAAATTTTCCCCAAAAAACTCAGAAATGTTTGACAAACAAGGACATTTCTGAGTTTGAAAAGTTGAACATTAGCTAGAAAAAAACTGAAGTTTTTAGATTATTCTCAGAAATGTTCTAGAAGAAACTTGAACATTTCTGAATTTGAAAAGTCAAGAATTTCCAAGAAGAATTTTGAGATTAATCAGAAAACATTTGGTCATTTCTGACTTTCAAAAACTTATTTGATGTATATTTGCTTAAAAATGGAATTTGATAAAATGTTATTTTTATTGCTTGTTTCACAATTAGTTACTGTATTTTTTTGTGGTGTAAAGCATTTTAACTTCCTTGTTGCTACATAAATAAACTTGACTTTTTTTTAATTGTAACAGACAAGACATATTACTCATGAAAACAAGATATTTATACTTATCCATTGGAGTGAGTGATGATTTGGTCCTTTTAGCACTGATGAGTTTCTGTCTAAATTTGATCCACCTTCAGGTCATCAGAGGTCGTGTCGATGATAGAGTGGGAGTTTGTCATGTTCATGTGAAAATGTTGAAGTTTAAATAAACAAAACGAACAAAAAAAGAAACTCATGGAGGGAGCGTGAGATAACTAGAAGCTGGCAGACTGTTTTGGTACTTGAAGTGAAGCCAGCCACCTCAAGGACATCGAAACATGGGGCTGTGTGGGCATCAGCGTCACAAGAAAGACGGATAAGAGAAGGCAGTGGAGAGAATATATGCACTAACACAGCATCTCCAGGCTCTGCGACTAAAGTACAGGATGTAATTTTATCAAATGTTCATGTCAAACCAGCTGTCACTCACAGATCAAGTATTCAGCGAATACCTTCTGCTTTAGATTTATATCAGATAATGAATCGATCAATCATCTGTCCATCCTTTCATCGAGTCGATCAAATCTATCTATAGCTGTTCAATATTTAGCTAGCTAGCAGTTCAAAGGCTCACATATTTTATTTTGTTGGCTGCGTAAATAAATGTATTTATTAAATAAATTCAGCTAGCTAAACTAATATATTTATTTATCTATAACTAGCTTGCTAACTAACCAGTACATTCCCTAGCTAGTTAAATAAATATGCTTATTGAGTTAGCTAGATTTATTTTAGTGGATTATAGAAATTTTTTCTGCACTGCTGGGAGATTTTAAGGAAAAAATGGAGTTTAAAGTGGTGATTGGCTAACAAGATCGGGATCTTGTTAGCTAACTACATACGTAGCTAAATATCTAGTTAGCTAGATGGTTCCTTATCTAGATTAAGAGATGAGGAACAAATTAGTGAACTAGTTCCCTCTCTGTTTAGCTAAATAAAATATGTGACCCTTTGAATTTCCGTTAGGGGCTTCCCAAAGCATTTGTTTGTGTTTTGTTGATGACCTGTAGCCTTTAACTGTGGAGACATTCACATCATGATGGACAGATGAGGTCAGACAAACGAGGAAGGAGAAAATAACAGGATTAAGCAATCAGTTCGTCTAAGAGGAAGTCGGAGTTTCAGGCTGTTTCATTTTCAACGTTTGTAAATTCAGAATGATTAACCAGCAAGTTAAATATGTACACAACAGATTAAATTAATGTCGGTGTGATTTAATGGATATGTTTAAAAAACTTAAAAAGATTAAATTATTTTTTAGAAAAAAAGAGTGACTAAATGGGGGGAGCTACAAAACCCAGCCACAAAAATATTATTGCCCCATTTTTAAAGTGAAAAATAGCAAGAGGGCGTAAATAAACAGTTTTTACTGCAACCCATGGCAGCTGGGTTTTATTCTAAAAACAAGATGTTTTCTTTAACACGTTAAAATAATTACTAGGAATTTAAAACCAAAGTTACAGTTTCACCACAGATAATTTTTTTTGTCATTTTAAAGAACATTACAGTAACCCTTTAGCAGTTAGCCACGCTAGCAGTTAGCCACGCTAGCAGTCAGCCACGCTAGCAGTTAGCCACGCTAGCTCACTGCTAAAGTGTAGTTTTATTAGCTAAAAGCAACTCGACTTCACCAGACATTTAACACATTTGTAGGTGAATCAAGAGAAAAATAAGAGAAGTAGTGAATTAAATGTAAAAAAAAAACATTGCTACAAAGTAAACTATTTTTCTTTCATACATAAAAAAGAAGGCTAATTACCCTTAGCATCAACCATTGAATAGCCAAAATAAACAAATAAAAAGTCTTGAGGATCCTGAACAGGTGACAAAAATTTATGAAATACTTTTCAAAGCACCACATAGTCATATTCAATAAATATGACTATGAAATTAATATATATGTAGAGCGAGGCAGATCTGATACCTCACTCTAAAATTACTTTCTGAAAATAACCTCTGGGTAGATATTAAAAATACTTTTCATTAAGCAGTTTGCTTTGAAACAGTCTGTGTAACTTATCTATATAATGTGTTTCACTTAGTAAATTGAGTTACTGAAAACAATGAGCTTTTCAATAATATTCTCATTTATTTAATGGATCTGTCTGCCGCCAGGTCTGGGAACTCCTTAATCAGCAGAAAATAATCAATTCCTGGATCTTAAATGTTTTCCACAAATTTAATTTATTGCTAAAGAAAAAGACAAAAACCAACTGCAAGTCCACAGTTTAATGCCATTGAAAATTTATTGTGATATTTGATAGTTTACATTAGAGTGAAAACAGACATGTGAAATGGCTTCACTAAGACAGAATGCAAAGCAATGTAGTCAAATAAAAGCATACATTTGTCTTTAAATTTAGAGGAAAAAAATAAAACAGGCACGACATAAAGCCATTATAAATACAACATGCTGTAGACCTTAAGCTGGAGTTTTAACAGTCCTAAGAAAAGATCCTGTGCAGACTTTTTCCCGCCTTTGATCGACATCCTTTCAGGCTTTTGCAGCTCAAAAAGCCGGCGGCCAGCGTCACAGTAAACAGTTTTCAGCAGCAGAAACCTTCGACTTTCAGTGTTTGATGCTGTTCAGCTCAGAGAATCTAAACATTCTGCAGGACAGAGAAAACAAAACGCCTTCCCAGCCTTTGAATTTGGTATGGAAGTTGAGTCTCCTGGATCAACTTTCACTCAACAGAACCCGGCTCTTATTTGGTACACAATGGTGACGCTGGCCGTCGGTTTTTGTTGGCTCGGCTCTACGAAGCTCTTCGTTTAGATCGACCAATGCTGGAGGATCCTTCAGACAAACTGGCGGACTCGTACCTGTGTTCAGTTACAATTTGAGCTGGCATGAACAGTGAGAGGAAGATTAGCTTCCAAATTTAGCAAACAGTTGTCAGATCAGACTAAATTTTGAAATATTAGTCTCAAACTGGGCTGCTACATTCAAAGGAAGCCAGAAGGTTAGCCTTTAATGGTGCATTCAAGTACTCAAACTTGACAAAAACGATTCAAAATGTCAAATTTTTTGGAAATGTGAAGCTCCACAGATCCTGATAATTGGTCAATTCAATCAGAGAGCAGCTTTCTCCTGGAAAAGGTCATATTTAACTATTCTTGACTTGTGGTTAGGGGCAAAACAAAGTCATATAAAGGGCCACAAATAGCCCTGGAGCCACACTTTGGACACCCCTGCTCAATGGCTAAAGTTAATCTTGTAACAGTCTCCAAAAAGGGGCGGAGCAAGCGGTGTCCAGGAGCAAATGGGTATAAAAACAACTTTATCGTCTGAAGATGAAGAAGTTGTTTCTAAAGGAAGCCATTTCTCAACTATCACACCTGATTGGACGAAATGAATGTCCGTCAGTCGACTTTCTTGTTAGTGCTAATGTACTTTTCTAGCATCAGATTTTGATTTACAAGCTTGCTGTTGTAACCAAGGGCATCAAAAACTTTCATATGGTTGTGTTAGCCGGGCCAACAGCAGTGGTGTCTCCAGAACTTCTCTTTTCAAAATAAGAGCATCAACATAAATCACATCATTTTAATAACAGATGGTAGTGATTTTTCAGAGACGTTTATAAATGGGGAGGCATAAATACGTAAATGCATTACGTAAAAAAATAAAATCCATTTTGGTTACTGAAATTATGTGAAACAGATGTAAAAAGTTAAAAACAAATCCAAATAAAATCATTATTCAAAAAATAAAGTTACTTAAACTGGCCTTGAGACAAAGGATTGAACCCTGGACTTTTTATCTTTTGGTTAACTTTTGCATTTCTGTCACTTTCTGTATAATTTCTACATCTGAAACGAACCAAACAGAAAGGTTTTAATCAGTTTTGTATTTTGTGAATTATTTAGAAAATATAGATGTTGCGCTCCGAAGAAGCTTTGGCAACAATTTCCCTTTACATGTCACTACAACAAATACTTTGATTTTACTGAATCATTTTCAGAAGTGAGCTAAGAAATAAAGGCTCAATATATTTCACCAGGTGCAGTGAATTTACAAATTTAGCTTTCTGAAATAAGTGAAAATGTTGAACTACTTTTTTTGTAAAAGCAAAAAGCAGTTTGCATAAGATGTGAAGTTTTTCCGTCTCCGCCCTGAACAGCTAACAGACCAAAGAAGTCAGAATATTCTGTTGAACACTCTTTCCAGGATGAACACCAAACCTAAACTCAGGGGAAACTGCTTGAATGCACCACAAAGGAGAAACTTAATGCTTTAACTGTGTTTATGTGAATTTTATGTGACACCTTTGGAGTTCATTTCTTGATCCCAGAGACTAAATTGTGCAGAGCTGCTCAAGAACAAGTCAAGACAACTGGCGAACTGGAAAGTAAAGCGTCTCTAAAAACAGAAAATGGCGAGATTACAGTCAACCATCGACCCAAAACACATCACATTAAATAGAACACAGAACAGGTCATTTTTGAAAGAACAAAAGTAAACATGAATGTGAAATACAATCATATAAACAGCCAGCGTCGCTGCGAAGGACCTCCAACATGTCCGCCGCCTGAAAGCGCTCGAGTGTAACACTAAGTGTGGTGGCGAAAGGGTCTCGATAAAGGCTTTCCCTGCGACACGGTGGGAGATTCCAGCTCGCCCTCGACGTCTACACGGCTCAGCAGAGACCTGAACACCGGCTCTCACCACACAAGCTAAAACAAACAAGCTAACCGAAAAAAAAGGGGATAAATCACTTCCAAAGAAACTAAACTGGCTCTTGACCTCAGATCAGCGGGAGCAGCAGTGAAACCAGAGAGCTGCAACACAAAAATAATAATAGAAAAGGAACAAACAGAAAGAGAGGAGGAAATAAAACCCAAAGAGAAAGTAAACATTCACTTTCATGTGCAGCCATGCATGTGGGCTGAAACACATGCAAAGTATGCACACACTCACTCACACACACATTCACACACACATTCACACACTCTCAGACAGAGGTACAGTGAACAAAAGTGCTTCAAGTCGGGGAAGTAAAAGAACTAACCCAGTAGAAATACGTATAAAACCTTAAATATGTTTATGTACAAAAACTATCACGGGCCAATATCTCAGCGGTTTCTGTATTTAAATTTTCAAGTAGGTATCATTGCTATCTATTAAGGGTTTGCATTGTCAACGTTTTTTTTTTCTGAATAAAAGGTCAGAGTGATCTGACTGACCTTGCCGGCAAAGTAATCAATCACTGCTGATTTTTTTAATCTGCCATCCTTCAAACCAACAACAAACGGCCAGTTCTCGATGGGCACAAAGGAAAAAAACAAAAGCCTCTATGTTTACTCTGAGAAATAATGTACTCCATATCCATTCATTTGTGCACGTCTAAATATTATCATAGAAAATATATGTAGACAAAAGAAAAAGGGCAGAGTTGTCTGAGGATCTTTTAGGGCCGTGTTGAACCAGGACAAGGGAAGACACATCGGTTCACATTAAAGTTTTCCAAGTTATGCACTGCACAACAGAAAAAAAATAAATGGGGGAGGCCGTTCATGTTTTGAAGAGGCACGAAATTCACTCGGCTTGGAGGCAAAGAAATCCAAAACAGATCAGACTTGTTAAAGAACAAAAAAAAACGTAATTTCTTAAACTAAGGGTTTGTACACACAGGTTTATCTCCATCAAATCATTTGAAAATAAAAATATCATACTCAAAAGATTTAACATCAAATCTGCCGCCGAGCGTCGTTTTAAATATGCCAAACCTCCAGGGGGCAGTGTAGCGCAAAGCTAAAACCTTAGTCAGTCAATCAAGACTGCTTCAACGCAACGACGACTTCCTGTTTGGAAACAAACATGGCGGCAGGAGGTTGAACTACTTTCAGACAGTGGACTGGGAATCCTGTCAAAGCAAGTCTGTGGGTGAACATCGTTGGTCGAGTCTGTTTTCACCTTCAAACACAGAGTTTCTCAAATCTACACATTGGTGTGAGTTCATTCAAAGAACCGTTTCCAGTGATCTCAAGTGGAGTTTTCATGTTGAGGCCAAAACACATAAAAACCTATTTATCTCCATGCTCTGCATGCGTGGGCTCTTGGAGAGCAAGAGTACATTTCTGGCAAAAAAAACCTATGACATTTTAAGATTAATATCAGAAATTTTTCAGAAAAAAAGTGGAAGTCGAAAATTTTATAAGTTGGAAAAGTGAGATTAATGTAATTTCTGTTTTCCAGAATAAACACAAACAAAAGCTTTGGTCTGATTTTTTTTTAACAAATTGTTTTTGTCATGACTGCATGTTAGGAATATTGTAGATTAAAAAAATAATAAATTAAAAGTAAAAACAACATAAATCCCTACCAAAAAACTCAGAAACGTTCTAGAAAAACCTGGAAATTTCTACAATTGAAAAGTAACAAAATTTGCTAAAGGAAACAAACATTTTGGGACTCAGAAATTTTCAGGTAAAAAAAACTTTAAAAGTTACAATTTTCCAACTTTCAGAAATTTTCAGTTTTAGATTAATCTCAAATCTCAATGTTTTTATGTACTGATGCAAACACAAGTCCTTTGACCCGAGTTTGCTTGGACTAGGCCTAAAATCACGTTGTGATCAAATATCGCGCCAAAAACAGAGAAAAAGACAAAATCTGAGATTTGAACTAAAAATCGAATAAAATTTAGTGTAAAAAAAAAAAAGGTTTGTGCCTCCAAACCGAGATGAAGCAGGCGCCTCAGCAACGTGCAAAGGATGTAGCGTCGTTCAAGTACGTCACTGTAATGCGTGACACGCGCGCACAGTATGCATATACACACACAGTCTTATGCATATACACATATGTGCATGACAGCAAATATATATATATATCGAAACCATGTTCCAATCAATTTCTACATACTACGTACAATATCATAGTATTGATGGATATGTAATCATAGTATGTGTATTTATATTAATATGTAGCAGTGACTTTCATTGTTTCATTACTGGACAATGGGATAATACAGTGAGGACGCTGACGTCAGCTTCCCCGCTCTAAAAATGATTTCTGCTCCTTTTTCATGTCTCTTTCATTCATGGTGCTGCTGCAAAATGGGACCAGCCACAATCGCATTTAGCCTTACACTACAAATATTTATATATCTATAAATTTATATATGTATTTATATATAATTTTATATCTTTTCATGTCCAACAAAATAGTACGTGCTGCTTTTGATGCTTTTTGGGAGCTGAAAAGTACCAGAAAGGGAGAATTAACACGAAAGATAAAACATAAGGAAATGGCAGGTATAAAATCCAACATTACTGGAATCCCAGTTTAAAAAAGAAAAGGAAAAATAAAAGCTGCTACATGTTTGTAACTATAATAAACTCCCTTTGCCCGTTTCTTCTCAACCCATCCCTGATTGCTCATTTGGACAATAGCGAAGAAAAAGAAAGAAAAAAATAAAATAAAAGCACGCTCAAAAAACAAATAAACCAAACAAAACTCCAGGAAATAAAATGCTAACCAGTAACATCCATCTGGCATCAAACCAAAGCTTCACCAAATCCCAAAGTTCAAACTATGGCAAATAACAATAAAATAATAATAATAATAAAGTCATTGCAGATGAGTGGAATAAAGAAAAAATAAAATGTCTTTTTTCAGTGAAGTCTCTCCGTTCACATAGCGGTCGCCACATCACCACAATCACTTGTAAGCGTGTTTCGGTGGAGCCGAGGCTGGGTGCGGGGTCGGGCGGCGGCGGCGGCGAGGGAACCCAAACGTGGAGCGGCGACGGAGAACACACAATCTTCAAGGTGGCGTAGGTTCCTAAAAACCATTAGGAAGTGGTTTTTAACTCCACTTCCTAATGCATTCGTTCTGTCCGGTTGCACGATGAACAGGTGGGTGTGTGCACGTGACGGAGGCCGGCGACCGGAGGCCTTTTAAAGGGAAGAAGGTGTGAGGAATGGGGGGAGCAGGGAGGAACGGGGAGGGAAGATGGTCGACGCTCCACTCAGTTCAGTAAATTCCAGGGTCAGGAAAACAGATTTAAGTAGATGGGACGTGGCCTCGGTGTCACTCCCATCCGTTGTCCTTAATCATGTGAGCCAGCTCGATGATGAACTTTCCCTCTTTGTATTTTTGACTGCTCTCAAACGCATGTTCCTGTGGAAAATAAGCAAAAAAAAAGAAAGAAAAATATGCTTCTTACTGGACTTGTGGATTTAAACCAACAACAGACACGCTGCATCTTATTGCTTACATACGGAAATTTCAGCGGCGGAGGACAAAAATATGATTCTCCTACATACCAGGCAGAAAAAACACTGAAGAACCAAAAACTTGGAAAACGTTTTAACCAAATTAAACAAAAAAATATATAATTATAAACTCTCTAAACAAAATTGTCCTTCAAAAAAGACCAAATCACCTGAATGAAGAGTTTTGTCATCCAGTTTTTGGTAGAAAGGAAAAAAATAAGTCATGCAAATAGAAATGATTGAGTTTGTTTTAATTTATTATGTGATTTATTTCTCACTTCGAAGCGTTTTTACACGGCCTCATTTTTGTCTGGGGACATATAGGGAGCTTTTTGGTGACAACATGAAAACAGAAAATAGTTTCTGACTAAAATCATGTCTCTCGGATGCAACATCACGACATCTCATTAAGGACTGCGTCAGCGTCCTCGTTCTGCTTGTCCTTGTGAACCAGCCGCAGTCTGATGGTTTCTGTCACTGAAGGAGTCCCCGTCTTGCACTTTGCTCACTTATTTTACACTCCTCTCTTGTCTTTTCAGACAATTACCGGAACAGAGCTCTTCAAAACGGTGTGACATTTAATCACCGCAGAGTCTCTGAGGAACCAGTGTGGCTGTCTGCAAGCCAACCGCTTTTCTGCTGTAATTATGTGAGCTGGGAAACCACAAAAGTGTTCAATCGGACAGACCTGAATAAAAGTGTCAGCGTGGCGTTAAAGAGCGCTGCATTAATGGAGGATACTTTGCTCTTTCGACCTGTAATGTCATGGTTTTTTCCATCCTGCCATCCAGAAAAGCCACGTTGCTGCTCAACAAAACGGCGCAGCGATGAGGCCCAAAGGAAAGTTTGGGAGAGAGGGACTTACGTATTTCCAGCCCAGGGTGGTTTTACAGTTTTCACAGTAGATATCAGCCACAGCATGTAAACCTGTGAGGAGAACCCGCTCCTCCGCTGGCCCGCAGCCCACATTCACCCTGGAAACAAGAGGAGAACATTTAATTAATATTTCTAAAAGAATATTAATTATCTGTCTATTCCTCAGATTTTTCATTAAAAACCCAACATTACAGGTCCTTTAAGAAGGTTGGGTATTTCATTATTTATATAAAATGTTCCATTTCCAATTCAAACCCAACATTTAGCGCAAACATCGTTTTCCAGAACAGCCAAACACAACCAGCAGATCTGATCGTCTCAGTGAGCTGAAATCTCAATAAGTATTTCCTCTGCAGTGTAGAAGGGGTTAAATTAAAACAAAACAAAGTGCAGCTATTCCTCATGCAACTTATGTAATTATATCTACAAAAAATATGCTAACACACCTACAATATCTAAGTATGTGTGTAAAAATTAACTTTGCGCGCTTTAACGTCTAATGACAGGTTTTTAGCGAGTTAATTGGAATAAAAAATAAATTTCAAAGTCCCGGAAATGTTTTTTTTTCCAAGCACTTTCAAACTCTTTATCTGCGTTTTCAGGGAAATAGATTTCTACTTTACTTTAAAAACAGGAAACGGCTGATAACGTGGGGTTGGTAGGTAACAGGCAGTGGTTTTTCTGGGATTTCCAGATATCAAAAAACATAAACTTAAATAAAAATAACAGCTGGGTGGTTTTCTTCAAGTGCTTGGCTGTTTTTAGAAGCAGCAGAAACCAAATGCAAGTATAAAACATGGAGCAACAAAAAATTATACTTTATAGAATTAAGAGTAAATTATATATTTGGTGAGAAATTCCAAACCACCTTAACATTTCTCACGCTGTTCACATGTTGACTTTTAAAAGCGAGTGTTTGAATTGAGCTATTCATCCCGTCAGGCCTGTGGAGCTTCTTTCATTCAATTCATTGCACCAGGTGAGAACAATGTAACTCAGAGTCTGCAGGCACAAAGCTGTTGCATGGTGACACCTAAAAATGTCTTTGGCCTTTGGGGATCGACGTCTGTGTGTTTCATTAAGACTGAAGACCCAAACAGAAGTAAACCAAGTCATAAACCACTACAGCTTTTATTATTGGGTTTAAAAAGATGGATGATGTTTCTGCAGAGTGGACAGAAAATCACCCAACAGAGAGCGCAGATAAATCTGGTATGTATACACAACTACAAAAGCAAAACTATTCAGTCTTCAAAAGCCTTTTACCAGCCCCAATAAAAAAAACATACAGAAACCCTCAGGATTTCTGGAAATAATGTGGATTTTAAACTTAAATTGCATCATTTGTGCTCCAAATATAACAAAGTTCAATTCACAGGACAAGTCTTCAAAAATTTTAATCTCTTTTTGTGCCTTATGCTGGTTTCTTTGTTGCCAAGTGGCTTAGCTTTCACACCAGCCGTTTAGTTTAATTTAAGTCCACTGCAGCTCATTTGAGTGGAAAGTCCGGGTCATTTTGGGGAAGTGAGAATGCGACCTCATCTGGACCAAAAAGAAACTCTGGTCCACCTGAAAACCAAGCTGTCAGTTCAGTTGAAGTAAATGTTGGTGCACTTCATATTCATATGTGAATGCCAAGCGAACCGGAGACCGCTCCAAAAGCTGGACATGGACTGCAGCGCAAGGCATTCTGGGTAAATACAACCAAAACAAACATGTGAGTCTAGGCTAGTGGGAGAAATGACTGGTGAACTTTTACCAAAGACAAAAGAGAAGTCTGCTAAAATCTCCATTTTTGAAGAAGGAAGATGTTCTCTGTGTCTTCTGAGGTTTTTGTGTTTCCTCCTTTAATGATTCTTGGTACAAAGTGAGGGAAAAGGTTTTCCAAAGGACTTAGTTCGTTTGACAGTGCAGTGTGAAAGTGAAATGCAGCAGCTGAGACTTTAACAACTGAACCAAATCCACTGGACTATCAGCTGTAAAAACACCTTTAGCTCCTCTTATAAATAACAAATCGATTAGGGAATTCAAACATCCTAAACAACAAACTCAGGTTTAAATAAACCATTTGTGAGAGTAGCCAACTTTAACTAATCATGGATAAATGTAAAGATAAGATTTAAATACTTACACTGAATTAAACAGGTAGGCTCTTCCTTGACTGCCTTGAAATGACTGAAACAGAAAGAAAGAGGGGAAAGTTAGTCGACATTAAGGAGCCGAGTGCAGGAATGCCAGCAGATGATGCCCTGGGGAACGTTTTCCTCCCCGTGACTGCTGCGCATACTTGTTCCCCCACCTTGTCAAGGTTTCCACACAGAAAGCTGGCAGCAGATAAGAAATAAAACAAAGCTCTGAAATGCTGCGGGACGAGCAGGAACACATCAGAGAGCAAGCCTGTCAGTTTTTATAACACCCTATCTTTGTTTATTGGGAACTTGTTGTGCAAGCTGTTACATCAGAGCAGAAAAACAGGCGATCTTTAAAATTCGACTAATTGTATTAAAAGAGGCAGTTCTGTAAGAGGATGGTACAAGCAGAGCATTCATGAGCTGTGAGGAAACAGCTGGACGTGTGTTTCGAATAATGTTGAACCCATTTGGTTATGCAAATTCCTTTAAATAATCTAATAATAAAAGTCACATTTCCCTTTAGAAAATGGAACATCTAAAGCTTTAGAGCAAGAAATCTGCAAAGTAGATTTCTCATTAGTTCTCAACTAGCTGCTTTTTTGAAGGACTATTTTGCTTACAAAATAATACATTTTTCTTGTAGTTTCAGTTGTTTTATATATTTATTTTGGATATTTAAAATGTCTTCCAGTTCCAGCGTTAAATCAGCCACAGCCCACATTCACCCTGGATACAGGAGGAGAACATTTAATTAAGATGTCTACTTTAGCAGAAAAATATATATTTTAAAAAACAAATATTTCTAAAAGAATATTAATTCTTTAAAAATTAAGGTTTATTGATCTCTGAGGACATGTTCTTGCATTATTATTATTATTATGCCATTACTTGAAAATGATCTCAAAACAAATTTATCGTTTCCTGCAATAAATTCTGGACAATTTATCATCCAGTAAAATTTCTTATTGTTTTAAGTTAATAATTCCTTAATATTGGAGAACAAGTAATTTCACTAGGAAAAAATTCTTTAAAAATTCATATCTTGCTGAGAAGTAAGCCAGTTTGTCTTATTTCGAGACTAAGATATTTGCACTAGAGATTAGACATAAAAGTACTTTGTAAAACTTGGTGTTTTTGCAGTGTGGATGTGATTAAATATATTGAATTCAGCTTTGATCAAAATTTGAAATATTTTCTGAAACATCTTTGGGAGAAAAAAAGCAAAAACAGAAGAAATATTTTTTGCAGCATTTATATGGAAATAAATTGTTGTTTTCAGCTTTTTTCTCTGCACTACAGGTGCTAACGTCCTACTTGTCACATCCTACAGCTAAGTGTTTGTGTTTTTAAGTGTAATCTGCCCAGACGCATGCAGTTCAGAGCACCGAGGCGCGACCTTTCCGCAGCATGGGGGAACTGGGTCAGTCCCTGCGGAGTCGACAACAAGACTTCAACAGCGTTTAGGCCAGAGCGGGTTGGGGGTTAGTCCATGTGACAAGAGCTGGGTGTCGTATCTGTTTTTCAGAAGGGTTCACAAATCAGCCCAACCACAGGCAAACAGAGACCGGTCCGTCTCCAGCTCCCCTTATCTGTTTCCCATTTTCTATTTTTAATTTACTGGCATCCCGCCCCCCCTCTGCTGGAGCCGGAGCTCCGGGGCCCTTAAAATGATTTTGTTTTTCACTGAAAGTCAAAGATTTGGTCAACACAACTGGAAAAAATACTAAGTTCTCATGTCACACTTCCATCAACTTTGTAACTGGCAGCCATCTTGGTGATCTGTTGCAACAAACCAGCCACAAGCTAAGAGGTAGCTCCTCTTAGCTTGTTCCTTTAACTTATAAACAATGTAAGTACATTATAACTATTACTCGATTACAATTTCTGTGTACTCTGCCCACCTCTGTGTAATACTAAGATAAATATCAGTGATATTTACCGCAGTACATCCTGCTAAACTAGCAAAATTATCTTAGCTAATGTAGCTCTTATCTGCTAGCTAAAATGGACATGTAGCATACATATTTGTTACTATATGTATGCTACATAACCAGAACGTTGTAATGCACATGAAGAGTTTGTATGTAGTTTACAAGTGTGTTTAGACACTGATTGTATGCATCCATGGATTACGCGGCCTGTTGTACGCGCTCTTCATGTTCACTAAGAAGTTAACTATACTGTAGTGTGAGATCAGAGGCAGCTTGTCCACATCATTTCATTATCTGTCTCATTGCAGGTCGATCCTGACAGTAGCCATCTTGTTCATTTCTCTTTCTCTCACACACTGGTCAAGAGGGTTCACATATTTTATTTTCGTTGATCTCAAAGCCACGGATCCGCTATGCTTAGCTATGCTTCGTGTTTGTGGTTGCCTCATGAGATGGTGCGGATCACTTATGGTTCAAACTTGTGACAAACGTGTGCATGATTGTAACTGGATAATAAGGCTGAAAAAAGTATTATAATGTAAGCGTTTCATATCGTTCAATATCAAAATTATTAATTTATTTTTCTTTTAAATATCGAAAATAATGCAAAAATGGTGGTGTGACCTTTCTAGTTGGATCCAGAGTTTTCACTTCGAGTTTTTATTTTTAAGCAGTTATGAGGCGAAACGTAAAACTGCTGCTGCTGCGCATGCTCGGTAGCCAAAGGGAGATTGTTGATGCCCTGCCTCACTCACTCACCCTGGGTTGAGTTTTGACTGGTTTTAAACCTCATTAACTGGAATTTATCTTAACATTTTTATCACAATAAATGATAACTGACAACACTGGACTGCAGGAATAAACGGTTCTGAGAAAATCTGCTCCAAAACACAATCACACTGATATTTAGAGGTAAAATGTTGCATCTCATTTTATCTTTCTTCAGACGGTGTAATTATATAAATTAAAAGCAGTTCTTTTGAAAGAAAACCTGAGCCAAAGCTATTAAGGAACCTGCTGAGGTTGATTTTTACCATCTGTCTCAACAGATGTCGGCTGCAGTAAGCGAGGGTTCATCTTCTTCTGTAAATTAAACCCCGAGGCTTTGATTTAATTCAGTTTAAGAGATGGCTTTTAAAGATTTACATGTCTGTAATTCCACATTCCATGAAGCAAAGCGTCTCTATTTACAGGAACTGTGAGGCTAGACATTAAAATCACGTTGAGCAATAAACGTTTTTACTCCAAATTGATGGGAAAACTGCTTGAAGATAACGTTGAAACAAACCTTTATTGTCAGTACAAACAACCCACATAGCAAAATTAGTCGCAATGAAAAATGCAATTTTTGCCCCAGAAAATTTAAAGTTTGTAAAATCAATAAAAACACAATGTATATCAACGAAATTCTTTTGTTACAACGTTCTAATTTCAAACACAACAATATGTACATGTTGAAGAATCTGTTCTCCACCGCCGATGTCCATCGTTCTGAGGTCGCATCATGGCGGCTGTTCAGTAGGATTTCCCTCTGTGCTGACTTCACCGCGCATACATATGGAAAATAAACAGAGGCGAATAAATAAATCTATACATCAGTAACAATCCCCTCTTATGAAAAATGCTATTTCAACCTGAACAATGCGGAACATCTGGAATCAATCTGGCCAACAGCTAAAGGCTAACAGCTCAATGCTAACGGCTCGGGCTAACAGCTGGGTCACCTTTAATGCTAAATCGCATTCATGCTAACAGTTAAAAATGACATTTTAAAGGCTGGAGACACAACAGCCACCAAATATCGTCAGTGAATACATTTAATTTGTAGAAAAATTTAAAATGAATTACTTATCTGGACTAAAAAAAGAAAAACCAAACCAAAGAAGAAAGATATGAACAACTTACGGTTTGAGTTGAGCTCGAAGTTCAACGAGCCGATCGTTACCGTGGAGACGGAGATGAAGCCTGCAATTTGTCACGTGCGCCACCATGACCGAGAATCCTCCACCTCCATATGAAGACGGTCATGTCCAATTAAATATTACATTCTATTATTTAGACATCAGAATTAAATTATTAAGGTCTAAAACAACAAAACCATGTTTATATTCATTAATTATATATATTTTTGCCTGATTTTGTCATTTTCATCCTTAAAATGCCAAAATTTCCACTTAACTTTATATTTTGGTCCGTCTGATGATGTAACTTCTAAATATTAAATGAATGATAATTTGATCAGTTACTCAATACTTGAGCAGACTTTTTACCAAATATTTTTTTACTCTTACTTGAGTATAATTTGTGGATATGCCACCCATCTCTCTGTTCAAAATCTCCAGCGTATTCCTAAAAACAATGAATGGCTTCACTAAAGTGCTTAATGTGAAATTTTTGTTTAATTTGATTTCTTTCCCCTCCAGTTTGCTAACTGGTGTATTGCTTCATTTCGAGAGTAATTAGAGACCAAGATACCAATGAAATTACATTATAATTAATTTACTTTCAAATATGTAGTGGTTAAATGCTTCCTACATCTCTGATAACCTAAGGCAAACCAGGCTAAAAGACTCCAAGTTTGGTTTAATTAAGACATTAACATTAGAGAGAAATGCAGCAGAGCTATATTGATGCTTTGGGTCACGGTCAATGTCTTGGAAAACTTCCCGGAGAGGCGGGAGCCTCGAATGGAGCTGCATCCATTATTGGGGAGAAATGAAGAGTGTGATCATCCCACAAATGGGCTTCCATCAGTCAGTCGAAGTGGGACGAAGCCAAGGTGCCGAATAAAAACGGGCAGCCAGCTCGTCAGTATTCAGAACGCATCTCCCCGATCCAGAACCACGTTCGCACTGCGGGCCTTCACGCTCTGCTGACAAACCGCTTCTCCGGTTTCACGACGAGACTCGGATCTGCTGCGACAGATCTGATTTTCTGTTTTCAGAAAGTCTGCATGCCAAAGTTCAAGCTTAAAATGGAAAAAACAAAGAAACTGATTAGGTTTTGTCTCGTTATACTTTGTGTAAATGGATCGGCGTTTACCACATAGAGTGTCCTATGGAAGCTATTGGCTCAGTGGGGGTGCTAATAACTTTGAGATGACAGATGCATT